AACTTCAGCATTTTGACCAAGCATGTCAGCATAACAGAAGGACAGAGCAATGCCGTTGTTAAGGAGAGATGAGAGCGTACAGACCTTGTGTTACGTATATGCATCAGTAACTTTTTGTTTAGATTCCTGTTTAGATTTGTTAGATTTATGTTCTAAACAGGTAATAAAAATACTGCTGTTATGGTACTATTCAACCATTTGCTAATAAAAAAAAAATAGGATACCTGTATCTATATAAAAATGTCTCAGTTTTTCACAAATCACAGGGTATTTGAGAATGCCTTTTGCCTGGAACCCCTGAAAATAACTTTCAAAGCTAGGATTATTGGTAAGTGTCCACCACTTTAAAAAAAAAAAAAAAAAAAAAGTCATAGAGCCTAACTGTAAGTGTTTTTGTGTTAAATCTGGCTCTAGGGTCATATTTTGCCGATTAATAAATTAATTTCCTTTTGGAGGTGGAGAGGACTTGTTTTGATTCTGACAACACTGTAAACTTTGGCAGAATGGCCAAAAAAATTATTGGGCTGTATTTCACTAATATCTGTGAGAATAAAAACTTGACAGCAATGGGAGTGATTTGACTTCTACATAGAGAATTCATTTATATGCACACAATTAAAGCAGTGAACACTGAGTTTCTCTTTCCTCAGAGAGGAAAAGCAGTGTTACACATTACTTGGGGATTTAGGGAGGCTGTTAAGAAAAAAAATTTTTAAGATTTTTAACCTGCTTAGTTACTGCACACTAGAGGGCACTTGAAGTAGAGCAAAAAAATATTTCTATAGCTACTAAAACCGATCCAGTTACCTGTGTATGCAAGTCATATTGGAAACTAAGTGCAAAAGATTAGCTTTCCAAATTATATCCAGAACATTAGTGTACAGAAAAAAGCAGTTGATTGCCTTGCTTGATATAATTTTCTTTTGTCTTTATTTTAGTGCTTGTACAAAACAAATATCTGTTTTCTTAATAGTCAACCTGACAGCAACTAATCAAAATTGCAAACAGTACCTAAGGTATAATAAAACTTGATAATGTGTTGTTATTTTTATGCACTTCGTAATATCATTGGTGCATATGGTGCACAAATTAGTAGTTGGGGTTTTTATACTTTAAAATCTCTAGATAGTGAAGGGGGCCCAAAACTAGTTATGTTTTATTTTACTAAATGGAGTAATTTTGCAGAGGGAAAAGTGTTTGCTGAGGGCTCCAAGGCCCCAGTGCTGCTATTATATTAAACCTTTGTTTCTATTTGACATTGCATGGGCTGGAAATGGAATTCACATGGATATAAGGATGTGACTGTCCAATCAAGGCAAAAGTAACTTCTTCAAAATCAATGCATTCTTTCTTATGTATTCAGTAACAAAGGAATGGACTTTGATTAGATGCCTTTGACAGAAGGCTAGACTGCCAAGAGAATACCTGTAGGTGACTGAGAATCACTTTTGTTACTTATGGATGCTGCTGCTCTGCAGTCTGTCCTTTGGGGTTTTTCAGGCTTTCTGTTGTGTTGGCTATTGAGTTTGAACCATTTTTTCAACTCTATAAAAACAGAACATACCTGGCCATTCTGAAAATACACTTCTTTGCAAACTTCTCTCGTAAGTTTCTTGGACTGTTTCTAGCTTTTCCTGTTTATATGAAGCCATGGATTTCTATCAGTACCAAAAATAAAAAACCCAAACCATATACCTTATCTCATGAGTCATTTTGAATCATTTCTTTTGTTTTAATCTATAGTATCAGTTGTAAGCATTATATAATGGAACTTTTCAATTACAGATGTCTACAACTTCCCAAACACGAGGGAACGTTACTTCTCATGATAACCAACTTGTGATAACTGCATACAAGCAGATTTTAAAGGTTGCAAGAAGGTGATAAGAAACTATGTTCTAAAGGTAATTATGTTTTTGTACTGGCCTAGTGAACTGATAAAAGCACATATTTTATTCAGAAACATTCTGGACTTATCTTGTTTCTTTTTGGTTTACAGAATGTAAATTCTGGTCTTCCGATGCCTATGAAACTTAGGAATAATCCTTCACGTAACTTGAGCAGAAAATACAAACTAGGTAGAGCTTTTTGATATTGCCTGAGAAAATTACATCTGTCTAAGGCTTTAATGGAATAATGGTAGGATGCACCACTATTCTGTAAACTTGCTTTAGTAGCTTTCAGATCAGTTACTAATTTTATATTATTAATATTACTTTGAAGTGGCATGCTAGTAGAAATTTCTGTAAGTTGCTGCTTGCAGTAATTTCAAAACTTAACTTAATCAAGTAATTCACACTGGACTCATTAACCTCAGGGATCAGGTCCTAGAAAGCATACTAAAACCTCAACTTGGCTACTGATACTTTGAGGGAAGAATCTCACTACTAGATGATCTGATGGAATAAAATCTGAATATAAGGAATCAGCAAAACGGTTTATTTTCCAAGCATGCTTCCTTTCATTCTCCTTTCCACTCTTCAAGTTCCTGACTTTTGAATTGTTATTTAAATGAGATGATGCTAAGTATTTAGATCAGCAGCAGCCCTTTTAAGGCTCTGTTGGGATTGAATTGCCCCTTAAGAGCTCATTTCAAGTCACTTTTATTAAATTTTTTTAAGCAATAAGGGCTGAGCTCTGTCTCCAGAAAACAGTTTATTGCACTGCTTGTAATACTGAGAAACAAAGAATATATGATAATCATATAATTGTTTTTGCAAAAGTAGAGAAGGGTGAGAAGATAATCGTACTCCATTATATTCCACATGTTTTTAGAAGGTAGCCAGATATTTCCTGTGTATATATGAATGAGAAGTCCTATTAGGTTTGCAATCCTTCTCACTCGTAAGAGCAAAATAATATGAAATAAGATTACCAGGTTCTCTTCCAAGCAGAGGTTAATTTTTTTTTTGCCCTCATTAGTCACAATCAGTCAAAACTCTGGATTTTTTTTAAGTTTCTATGTGAAATTTCTGGTACAAAGATATAATATTAAAAATTGCATTAGTTTGATTCACTTGGTCACATTTTGCACCTGATTTTTTTTCTTCCTTCACTACAGTTGTTAAACTAAGAATCTTCATCCCATTTCAACTGATATCAGAGCTTTTTACTTACAAAATGAAATGACCTTTCATTTGAAATGATTAACACCCACATTTTGGGGAAGATATTTCCTTTAAAATATTGAAGAGGAAACAATTTTTAGCCAGCATATTCAACAGTGCTATGTGATATTAATGGGAATGAATTAGTTTGGGTAGGAGGTTGGAAACTGGAAATACTCCTTTGCTATTCAAAGATTAGTATGAAGCCACACAGTCTTTCCTGTTGAGACTTATTCCATGCAAAAAGCTCTCCAGAAAGAGAATCCGTGAGTGACACAATCCATTTTAACAAGACAGATACCACCCTCTCACACCACAATTTCTGAGGATCAAAGAGCACAGCATTTGCCCCTGTAATTCCCAACTGCAAGAAAGGTCACTTAAAACAATTGGCAAAGGCAAAGGTTAAAATCAAAACTAAAACTAAACTTTTAAGTTGTACTTGGAGATATACCTCCAAACATCAACACCAGGTTCAGGGGAGCACAACATAACTTTAAAGCTACCATTAGCTTTCCTGCCACACACAACTTGACTACCTGTTTAAAGCATGGACACGAGGGGTCTAAGAATTCTTATTCTTGGTTGCTTCCTTCAGTTATTTTTCAATAGAAATTAAAACATACAGCGTGCAAGTACTTTTACATAAACTAAAAAAAAAACCCTGTCATTAATAGCCAGAAGTAAAGACAGAGACTAAACATCCTCATCTTTCATTGTGACACCATATATATTCTCATAGTATTGTTCAGTTGGTGAGGAGATGGAGGAGAAAAATACTGTTTGTGTCAATGCAGCTTCAGATAAAGGGAAGCCACATTTCTGATGTTATCTATTGCACTGCAAAGTGTTTTGTATTTCCCTCAAGGCTCTCTGCCTGCTTCGTCAAATAAATATTGTATAAAATATCCATACTTCTCTAAGGAATCACCCTGGGCTCACAGCTTGGAAGCTAAATGTTTGGGCTGAGGGAAACAAAGATACACAACATTTAGGTGTCTCTTCATTGCCCTTGAAAAATGTCAAAATTCCAGGTATGTTTTCCTACCTGCTAATGGGCTTGAGGCTTTTCAGAATGAAACACTTGTGCAAGAAGGAATGCACCTGTACATGAAATAACTTGCTAGGCAGTATTACATGTTATTAAAACCAGAACTGAAGCACATCAAACTTGCAAAGCTCCAAATGCAGATGTGTGCACTCCTCTCTCCTGCACACACACTATCAGTATGAAAAACAAGACCAACGGTCATGAAAGTAAATTATGTATTCCTTCTGTATAGAGGAATATTGGGGTTCATTGTTGTCTTTCTATAATTGTTGGTAGGTCTTGAAGACATAATCGTCTTATTTTGTGTTTAAATTTAAAAGATTTTCAGTTTTTAAGATTGTATTTAAGATGACCAGCCATTAAAAATAGTTAACACAGAGCTAGAAAGCAGCAAACCCACATTAGTCATACAAAACCACACTGCCTTAAACATGGCATAAGATCTCTGGCCAAGGAAAGTCACAGAACTATGATGGAATTGAGTGTTTTTGCTTCCAAAACAGTATCAGTTAAGTGTTGTATCAGCCCTCCATTTTAAGAGTCATAGTCTGTGTCTGTACTTTGGGCTCCTTGCACAATTCTTAGCCCCTTCTCTGTTACTAAATGTTAAAGGACTTGAGGAAAAAATAGGTGATGCCCACATTTAGAAACATGAAGTGTTTTATGCTTAATAATTATGTCATGCTAGTAGACAGTGCATACAATACATGCAGCATAAAAAAGAAAACTGCTAGAACTCAACTGATGTGTACTAAGATTATTTCCTTTTGGCTGGCCTCTCGTACAACGCTGGCTGAGGCACGGTTCAGACCTCTACGCGGGCGCCGAGCTGTTGGCCCTACCTTGAACCATGCTGTGAGTCCTCAAAAGGGATGGGCAGCCTTCGGCTCTTTAAAGTCAACAGCAGTTGAGGATGCTCAATGCGCGCTGCCTCTTGGACCCTCTCCAGCGCTTCACAAGATGGGGGCTCTGTGTAAGACACCATCACAGTTGGTCACAGGAAGGAATTAAGAACTAGGAGCTGGACAACTCAGCTGTAACGCACTTGCCCTTCAGCCATCTCTTGCTGTGCAGAGAGGTCCTGGCTGTGCTTTGCGTTTGTCCTAGTTGGAGCTTTTACTTCTAAGAGCTGACTGCTGCCCTTGGCTTGGAGGAGCACAGGAGAGAGTCAGAATGCCTGCAGTTATCCTCTTTCTTTTGGGGGTTTTGGAAAAAGATTTTTAAATCCCTCTCTCCCAGGCACTGGTCCCTGGAGTGTCCGGCTGTGTCTCCTGAAGGGTTTCTTCATGGAGATGAGTAGCTGCCTCCTGTCCCCCCGCTCCATCTTGCCCTGCCCCTCCCTCCTTGCTGCCCTCCGCGTCCCGCTGCGGGGGCGCTGGAGAGGGTCCCCTCCCCGCCGCCCCGGCCTCCCC